GTTCTCAGCTGTCTGCTGAAGTTGTGTTGATTTGAAAGTCTGCGCTGTGGATCCAGGAGGCCCTTGCCTTTCTCCTGTTCAAAGGTTGATGGAGAAAGTGATTGCAGAGGTCAGTTTTCTCAAGAGCCGGTGTAGGGGGCAAGGAGGGGGAAGGTTCAGGCTGTTGAATTTGAATATAAACAGAAGGCTGACCCCACAAAGCTGAAGGTTTAGGGATGTGTTGGCCATTGACAGTGAAGTTACATTTCTGTAGCCACAGGCCTGGACGGGGAGACCCAGAGAGCTCAGCCTGGAGGGGGAGAGGTCGTGGGGAGCTCATGACCTTGTGCCCTCGGGTCTGGCCAGGAGGGATGCTAGCAAGAGAAATCGGAGCTAGAGACCCTTTGTCTTCCGGAAATTAAGCTTCTATAATTTATTTTTACTTCTTTATATTTTGGTTTGATACCTGTCCCCTTTGCTCTAAATCCTATGGGGCAGGTTCCGTGTCTGCTGCAGTCTCCCCAGTACGGGCAGCAAGGCCTAGCGCCTAGTAGGTGGGTTCTGGGTCAGTCTGATGATCAGCAGCTGGAGGCCCCGTGGTGAGGGGTGAATGCTGACAGCAGATCTGCCAGATGAGGGCTGGGGTGGGTGGGGTAGGGTGCATCTGTGAGTAAAGCCCTGAGAACACACGGGTGCCCAGGAGGAAGGAGAGGGAAGTCACCAGAGGCTTCCTGGAAGAGGGGGCACCTGACCTGAATCTCAGAGGAGGGCCGAGCGTTAGGGGTCAGAGACTGGAGAGGTGGTTCCTGGAGAGAAAGTGACAGATGCAGGGCCTTGGGGACCCACAAGCCCGGGCCTGTGGGGCTGCCGCAGAGGTCAGCTGGGCTGCGGGTCCCACCCTCACGGGGGCAGCCTGGAGGACGGGGTACAGTCTGCCCTGTGCTGGGGTGGGGCTCCCTGGGGCTGTTGCGGGGAGGGAGGGTCTGAGAGATCAGAGAGCAGGAGGCCGCTGCGCCGCTCTCGGGAAGGAGGAGGAAGCAGAGGCTTGCCTTGTCGGATGGACGCTGACCGGATGGATGTGAAAAAGGGGGAGGATCTGAGGGCAGGGCCGGTAGGCAGACTCGCCGGAGTCCAGTGACTGTGGGCTGCTGCTGGGAGTGAGAGCAAGGAAAAGTCCAGGGTAGCGGTGGTGATGATGACGATGACAATGGTGAAGATGATGGTGACGATGATGGTGGTGAAGATGCTTCCAGCCAGCGTCTGCTGAGTGTGTACTTGCCAGACACTTCTCACGCACCCTGTCCTTTGAGCCTCACTGGGATCCACCCAAGCAGAGACTACACCTGTCCCTGTCATACGGAGGAGAAAACAAAGACCCAGAGAAGCTGTTTCGTGGCCAGAGCCACGTGGCCAGTGTGTGGACAACCCAAGGACCGTCACCCTTGAAGAGCCATGCCCTTGACCATACCTGGTGCCGGCCCTGGGGTTTCCATGGGGGTTGGCTGGGTGACGGTGCTGCTGCCTCCATCCTGAATCCGAGAAACCTAAGGGGAACACGTTTGATGGGTGGGGGGATGACAAACGGGGTTGAGCCCCGTGGAGCTGGACAGGGCTGCTGTGGATAATTCCGTGAGATCCAGTGGGCACCTGCAGGTCAGGAGGGCGGCTCTAAGGGGTAGACTTAGGAGGCATCAGCCACAGATGGTTGAAGTCGTGGGGGTGAATGAGCCATCCCAGAGAGCCAGAGCGTGAGGACAGTCCAGGGCACACCCCCGGGCCACACGTGTCCTTTGAATAAGGCCTATCTGGGGGTCCCTGGAAGCTTGGTGAGGGTGGGGGCCTTGTTAGGGTAAGGGAAGAAATGCAGTGACTAGGGGAGAGGTGAACCTACTGTTCTAAGGGCCCCAGCTCCCCAGAGAGAAGGAAGAAGAGTCACCAGAAGGGACGTGGGGTCCCGAGAGCTAGTTTTTCTTTCTTTCCCTTGTTAAGACCAGAGAGACTGCAAGAGTCCTACTGGAGGGATGGAAGTGGTAGAAAGGATGAGTCAGATGGGATGGGAGAGGCGAGAAGGGATGGGACACCATCCTGGAGGAAGCCGGCGGGGTGAGCGAGGGCATCCGCCTTCAAAAAGAGCAGAAACACCACGTTTGCGTCCAGAGAAAAATGCAGGTTTGACTTTACCTTGAACAAGACCCAGGAATCTCAGAAAGGCAGGATCTGGCCCAGGGCTCCAGGTACTGTGCTCTAAACCCACGGCCAGGTCTGCACAGAGCCATACTTCACGCAGGTGGCTCCCAGCCAGACCAAGGGCGGCAGGGGTTCATTCCCAGGGAATCCACTTCCGGGAGATGGGGGGCTGCTCGGACGGCTGACCTTGATCAGAGCCTCCGCAGGGCCCTCACTGACCCTTCCACAAGGCAGTCTTGGATCCTTTTCACCCTGCCTTTCCTCCCTCTGTCCTTCCCTCGGGGCTCAGACGCGCCCTCTGTCTGCCGGCTCCCCCTGCTTTCCCCAGCCCCACTCCTGTTTCCAGGAGTATTTTCTCTCTTAACAAAACCCCCGCACGACGAGTCCTTCTGGCGTCCACTTCTTGGAGGACTCAGACTCACGCAGCCACCCACGGGCACAAGTGGAGAAAACCAGAAAAGCAGGGCCCATCTGAGGGGCCCTCAGATGCCCAAGGAGACCTTGGTGGGTTTGACAGCAGAGTCTGGCTGGAGGAGACCTCAGGAAGACAGACGTGAAGACAGATCGACAGGCGGGTGGTGGCCAGTGGCAGAGACCCTGAAGGGTTCCCAGGCAATTCTCAGAGCAGAAAGGGAGTCAGCTCCTGTAGCTAGGATGAGCTGTGTGGGGGGGATCATGCAGAGGGGAGGTTCGACAGAGCCCGAGGGAAGAGGAAGCCCACAGGGGTTGTGAGAGACGAGTGGGAAAGAGGAAGGAGAAGTCTCGGGGGTGGGAGGGCTGCATAGGACCTTGTTGACCTTGAGAGAGTCTCTGGATTTTGTCCTGGCCGCCCCTGCAGGGTTCTGGGCTGGGGCACGGCGGGATCTGTTTACATCTCAGAAGGACCGCTCTGGCTGCTCCCGGAGGTGAGCAGGACAGGACAGACCAGGGAGGAGGCTCCAGGGGTCTCACAGGCAGCAGGTGACCGGGCCTAGAGCAGGCGGGAATGCACAGGTGCGGTGGATGAAAATGCCCCCTCGGGTCGCCTCTTACGAGAAGCAGGGACATGGACCTTCCCCCGCTTTTTCTGTTTTTTAAAACAATTTAATTAACACAGAGTGTATTATTACTTTCACAGGCAGAGTTCAGGGACTCATCAGTCGCACAGAACACCCAGCACTCACTCCATCGCGCGCCCTCCTTAACACCTATCGCCCAGGGACCCCATCATCCCCCACTTCCCTCCCTCCAGCCACCCTCACTTTGTTCCCTAGAGTTAAGAGTCTCTTATGGTTTGTCTCTTTCTCACTCTGTTTTCCTCTTATTTTTCCTTCGAGGGGATCATGCTTTTATCTATGTATTGGAAAGGCAGATAAAAGAGGCGAGGACATTAAAAGATTAATTATAAAAATTGACTTAAGAAAACTCTGCACGTTTCAGAAGGCAAGCGGCAGGAATCACTCACGGCATCTGACTTCCCGCACCGCCTGGAAGTGTTATCTTTGCCAGCCTGGTATTTTCAAACACTTTATTTTGTATTTTTCTTAATAATCAACTGATCCACGGCCCCTCCTTCATGCAACACTCTGTCCGTCCGGCAGGACCGGTCTTAACAAACGTTTGCCTTTTTGAACAAAACCGTGTGGCATACATTTTTATTAAATCATAGAAAACTCATTTGTATACAAATTGTTCCGCTTGGGGGAAACTGGAATAATGAAGTGAGTAACGACGCAATGGAAAGATACATGTTACTTTAAGCAGAGACCAAGTGTCGTCACATTTATTTGTAGAAAACGTTGAAACGATCCACAATAACTGGCTGTCGGCTTTCTTCACCCTTGGGCTGGAGGAAGCATCTCTCTCACGGCCCCCCGTTCTCCGAGAGGGTGTCTTTCATGACTTAAAGCCACTGTCAAGTTTATGAGACGGGTCGCCTTCAGCCTTAACGCGACGTCAGTTTCTCTCTCCCTGCCACAGGCTTTCCGGGTACAGCAGATGCCAAATTTCGAGGGACGGTCTTTTCACCGGACCCACGGAACCTTCCTTTCACAACAGCAGATGTGTGTAACGTGTGGAGTAGATTTCAGAATAAGTTAAATATTAAGACGTACAGTATGGCAGTCACGCCCTACTTCTCTTCTACCGTGTACACTGGAGAGTTCCTCCTAACCTTACACATTTATAAAAGGACGAGGGCTGAGAGACCCAGCGATTCTCAAGATCAGAACCACATTCTCTAAACGCTTTGGCCAAGTATTTACAGACGGTCCTGCACGCCCTCCACAGGGGACCGAGATGGCCAGGCTCCAAGGTTCACTGAATGGAATCGGGCAGCCTCGCTCTGCCCTCGAGCAGAGACCCAGAGGTCACGCTGTGACACGTCTGCACTCACCCCAATGACTCACGTAACAAACAAAAATTAAATATTACCAAAATTATTTTAAATTAAATTGAGGACCACTATGTTTAAGTGCATGAAATCTGCCCCCCAACCCCCCGACCAGCTTCCTGAACGCTTGCTGCACAGTGAGCACGGACATCCTTGTCACCTTGTTCCTGTGTGCTGGAAACCCACCTGCTTCCTCTGGGGACTCCCTGGAGGTCCATGAGACCCCTGAAGGGGAAAACACAAAAACAAAAGCAAAAGCAACTCTCCTCTCTCAACGGAGGCACAGTCTCAAAAAGCCACTTCACCACCCCTGAGTCTGGATTTCAGACTCAGTAAAAGCAGGAACTGGAAAAAAAAAAAAAAAAGTCACCTTGGGGCCTGGCTCCTGACCCGTGGTGGCTGCCTGCTTCCCCGGGACACTCAACCGACCCTTCACTTCGAGCTCCCCCAAGATCCTGGGCTCCCCTGTCGGTTCACAGACCTGCCACTCTCCCCGGGAACGTGTAAACAAATGTGGGGAAAAGCCGTGTTTCTGCCAGTGTTTGTTATGTCAGGGACAAGCCCCTGGGGCTACGAAAAATAACAGGAAGGGCTGCCCCCCAGAGCTGACTTCCTCCAAGACGAGAAAGTCAGCTCTAAGGCCTTCTGCCCGGCTCGCCTCAAATGGTATTCAACGAAATGAGAGACCTTTCTCTGGACCACCTTGTTCCTGAATGAGGGCCAACAGCTCCCCTCGCCCTCTCGGCCACCATCCTGTTACTGGAGGTGACTCGGGGACGAGGCCAGGCTCTTATGCAGGTTGGGGTTCTGGCTGTGCCTGTTGCGGCTGCGGACAGAGGAGAACATGGTGTTGCAGCCCGGAACCTTGCATTTGTGGAGCTGACGGAGGTGCACGGTCTTGTAGTGAGCCCTGAAGGTCCCTTTATTACTGTATGTCTTTTGGCAGAGGTGACACGTGATGGGCAGCCCAGAAGGCAGGCTGGCGAGGCTCTGGTCAGCCTTCTCCATCAGGACACAGATGGGGTACTCGTCATCCCCGGGGACAAGGCTCGGCCCATCACAGGTCCCATCGCTGTCCTCCATGAGCACAGTGCCCTCCTCGCTGGCCCCGTCTGAGTCCCAAGAGGAATGGCTGCTGCTCTCCGACTTCATGCTCGAGGTAGTGCTCAAATCCAAGACGGTACCGTCGCTCGGCGGACCGGAGCTGTAACTCTCCAGGCCGGCGCTGGGGACCTGGGCGATCGGGTAAACCAGGCTGCCCATCCGACTCGCTCCCTTGAAGATGACAGATGTCTGGGAGGCTTGCTGCGCGAAAGCCACGTCCTGGAAGGTCTCCTTCGCCACGTCTTTCAGAAGGTAAGCTGCACGGAAATGGTCGTCAGGGCCCCCCAGTGCGTCCTGGGTCAACACTTTTTGGTGGAGGTTTAGGTTTGAACTGTGTCTACAAGAGTGAACAGACGGTTAGCAGTGGGTTGGGCTGTTGTTGTAAAAACAGTCATCACTCTGAGGGGAGACACTAGGTGGATACCAGAAAAATTTTGTGGCGCAGAAGGAGTGACCACAGGGGGGATGGGATGAAATGTGTGTCCAGGGGACACTGGCCCCGGGCTGTTCACTGCCTGTCGGAAGTTAGCACTGACCAGGAAAGCTGGCTGCCCGGAAGCTGGGAATATGTCGTCCTTCTTACTTTCTACCATGTGACGGACACGTAACTTCCCGCACCTCATCTACAGAGAACTGCGAGCCTACTCCAATCAGGTCAGTTCCCCTGGGACACTGGAACTGGTCCCAATATGGAGTTAAGCAGAGGACTTCACTGCAATGAAACCAAGAAATATCTTCTAGAGTGCCCGTGTCCAGTAGGACAACTACTCCCAAGGGACACGGGAGCTCCCGAAACGTGGCTGCGTCAGACACAGAAATGATGGTTTGGGATAGACTGAATGAAACAAAATACATTATTAGGAATTACTTCACCTGTGTCTTTTTATACTTTTTTAAAAATGTGTTTAGTAGAAAATTCTAAGCTGTGTGCTATCAGGATCTGTAACACTCACACTACCTTGACCCCCAGAAGTACTATAGGAGAGAGAATCTGATTGGCTAGATATTATGTGTGTGTGTGTGAGTGTGTGTGTGTGTGTGTTTGTGTGTGTGAGAAGGAGAGAGAGAGAGAATTTAAGTTCACTTCATATTTGCAACGTTTCAGAATAAACCAGACAGGAGTTTTGCAAATGCAGCACTGAACCCACCACCAATCTTCTACCCGATGATTACTCCCGAATGGCAGGTAATGAGTACCCATGATGACACACGCTTCTCGCTCACACAATATCATTTGGACGTAACTTGGCCATCAATGTCGGCCTTGCTCAGAGATCCCCTGCTGACCTCGGACTCTGACACAAATTGCCCTTACTGCCGGGGGACAAGCTTACAGGTGAGAGAAAAACGATTCCAAACAGAGAAATTGCCTCCCCTCCCCCACCCGTACAGATGAGGATGCCTGCCAGGACCACCTGGGGCGGGGGGGGGGAACACCCCCACCAAAATAACTAAGAATTGAGTTTGCTCTTTGAAACCTCGGAAGATACAGTGGGGGTGGGGGTGGGTGGAAATTTCATCCTAGTTCCTAAAACATATTGGATCTGCTATTCAACGTCTCTCTTCTATCCCTTACGCATTCTTTTTCTGGACATAATCAGAACCGTGCTCCCAGATCACCCACTCTGCAAACAACTCTTATCAACGGCAGCTCTGCCCTGTGATTATGTCAGCGTTCCGGGTGGAAGGGGCAGGTATGTGTCGGCAGAAAACCAGACACTGGACTGACACGCAGGTCCTGGCACATAAGTGGTTGGCAAAAAAAAAAAAAAAAAAAAAAAAAAGGCAGACAGACACATTTACCGGAACCTTGCATGGGAAGGTCCCTGTGGCAAGAAAGCCAAGGTCTGGGCTCGAGTCCCCTAGGAACGCCAGGAGCAAACCTGTGGGTTCCCCCCACCTTTTCCTTACACCCTTGGAGGGTCAGGTGCATTTCCCCAGGTGCCACGTCTCCTAAAACCAGTGACGACCACAACTGCAAAACCCTCTGGGCCGCGTGCCAGGCTTCCTGCTGCTTTGGGGACTCTTAATGCCATGAATTCCCATCCCCACCCCCTATCTCTACCTTGTTAGACCAGTGGTCCTCAAAGTGTGGTCTGGGTACCCCTCATGGTTCCCGAGCCTCTTTCAGGGGTGCCCTGAAGTCAAAACTCCTCTCATCATCGTGATCCTAAGACGCGATCTTTTCCACTGTCTTTCCTTCATGATACCGTGTGTGGTTTCCAGAGGCTACGTGACATGCAGTATTGGAACAGGATGAACACAGAAGCCGCTGTGGGAAGCCAGCTGTTCTCTGCTAAGCCAGACGTTACAGAGATGAGCAAAAATGTAAAACAAAGCCACTCTTCTCACTGAGTTTTTGGGTTGGAAAACGGGGCTATTTTTCATTACATGTTATGTATGTTTCCCCCCCTTTTTTTCATGTTAACATATAATAGGTTTATTATTTTAAGGGATGAAATAAATATTAATTTTTTTCAGTTTTGGTTTCTAATGCAGTAAACATTGATTGACACTTATAAACTCAAACACACAAAAGTTCTTGAGGGCCCTGAGGTTTCAAGAATTTGTAAAAGGGCTTCTGAGACCAAAACATCAAAGAGCTGCTGGTTTAGTCATGCCCCTTCCTCCAGGAAGCCCTCCCTAACTTCTCAAAAGAATCTAGTCAGGGGCCCCGGCACCTCTCTCTTTCTTATTACAGCGGCTATTGCATTTAGCCGTAATCACCTTTTTATTGCTATCTCCCCCACTGGCCTTTGCAAGCAGGGACTGTGTCCACAGCACCTCACAGAAGGTTTTTAAATATTTTTTGGCTAAATAAGCATTCAAGGTACAGCTCCAATCCCTTCCTGAGGGGTCCCAGTGACTGCTGATGGCAGCGGCTTCAAGAGGGGAAGACAGGTGTCTAGACAACACAGTTCTCATCCTGACCCCAGGCCTGTCAACAAGCTCTTTTCAAAATGGTAGCATTTGGGGGCGCCTGGGAGGCTTAGTTGGTTGACCGTCTGCCTTCAGCTCGGGTCATGATCTCAGTCCTGGGATGGAGCCCCGCGTCGGGCTCCCTGCTCGACAGGGAGGCTGCTTCTCCCTCTGCCTCTCCCCCTGCTTGTGTGTGCGTTGTCAAAATAAATAAATAAAATCTTAAAAAATACAAAATAAAATAAAAGGGTGCCATTTTAATCTGATTCTAAACATTCCAAGTTCTAGATCACCAGAATTAGCAGTCTACATTTATAATTCAAGACGCTTTCCTATGGTCGGAGAGCAGGCCTGTGTCCATAAATAGTTCAGAATATAAGAAATATTAAATACATGAAAAAAAATAAAACGAAGGTGTACATTAAATTCAGCATGCCTTCTAATGCAGTGCACGCTGTAGGCCAGCAGAGGATCATAATATCAAGGATGATCCGATTGGTGGGACTGTCTCTTTCAACGTAAAGCTTGCTCATGAACAACCACGTCTGTGTAATGCGTTTGTCTCCCTTCCCAGACTGTGGTGATGTGACTCGAGTTCATGAAGAAAAGCACGAGAAAGACAGTGAGGCCAGTGCCGTGTCCCAGGCTGATGAGAGAGCCACCCTGCCTGGGCACTCTGCAAACAGCGTGACACCGTGTGGGCCTCAGGGACACCCCCCACCCAAAGACATCTCAGCTTTTAACCCACATCACAAGCCCTGCAGTAACCTGTTAATACATGCCTTTCGTCTCTGCTACCTTAATAATGACAAATTCTCTGACCACACAGTTCTCCTTCCGTTCGAACAGAGCTCGTTAACTGGACTTAGGAGAAAACCTCTCCTTTGATGGGCTTCATATCATAAGATGAAAACTGGACAAGTTCTGTCGTCTGTGGTGATGATTTAACCCTCCCCTCTCGGGAGACTAGCTCATGATTACTCATCCCAAACCATCTGCTCTAGGTATGTTTCCGAATTCAGAGTTTCTCAAACTCTAGAAAGGCAGAATGGTGCATAAACCGTATTGTTTTTTCATGTCCCCGTAATAAATCTGTGAGTATTTCTGCACTGAACACATAATAAAGGAAATCCACACAAAGGGAGATTTAAGAAAAGACAGACTGCCCATAGCCTCATGTCCTTTCAGGTCAGGGTTGGAGGTCAAATGAGTTTAGATCTGAATCCGAGGACTCAGGCATGGGGTGTAGGGGTCAGTGTTTCTCAAACTGTGGTCCCTGGACCAGCAGGAGAAGGACCACCTGGTGACTCAGAAACGCAAACCCTCAGGCCTCACCCCACCCCTGCAGAAGCGGAAAGCCCATGGGCAGGGCTTGGAAGGATGTTTTAACAACCCTCCCGGTGGCTCGGGCGCACGCGGAAGTTTCCGAACCACGGCCTTGGAAGAAAGGACCTGCGTCTTACCTGTCTCTGCTCCTGCGCGAGGGGAACGTGGCTTTACAGCCCTCCACGGTGCACACGTGCGTCCCTCGGGCATGCATGTTCTTGTGGTGCATTTTCACGCCGCACGCATTTTTGAAGGCCTTCTTGCAGACGTCACACTGGAAGCGAGCTTCTTCCTTCTGCCGCCCGGACGCACGCGGACCCACGGGTTCTGGCTCCTTGGTGTCTTCGAAACAAGGAAAAGCCACTCCTCGGCCAGACAGGGCGCCGAGGAGCCCGCCGGCCAGCAGGCGCTGCTGCAGTCTGATGTAGTCAGGGAAGGGGACGCAGGGCTCAGTCCCGGCTGCGAGGTGAGGTTCACGGCCACTGTCCTGCGGCTCCCTTCGCACGGCGGGCAGGGCTGGCTTCTGTTCTGCCTCCCTCTCTGGCGGCCGTGTGGCCCACTCAGGGCTCCTGCGGATAGCCCCGCCGGACTCCAGCCCCGAGTCCCCAGGGCAGACCCTCTCTCCTCCCGGGAGAGGCCCCCCTAAGCCCCCAGACAGTGCGCACGGCTCCTCAGGTGCTCTGTCCGACGCCTGGGGGCTGCCGGCCTCGAGCTCCTCCTCGCTGGCCACCCGCAGGGGCACATCTTCATCGGAGCTGAGAGCGAGCCGCTTGTCGTTAGCTGCCCCCACGGCCTCCTTCTCTATTTTGATGGGCATGCTGGACTTGCGGGATTTCTTCTTGGGAAGGGCTTCCAGTGGGCCTTCGTGCGGCGCCAGCGGCTCCGGGATGGAAGAGGACAGGAGCGGGAGGGAGGGCAGCACGCCGGGGGTGTTGGCCAGCTCGGCCGGGGTGGCCGGGCTGCGGTAGAAAGGCAGGACCGGCTGGACCGTCTTCAGGTTGGGGAAGAGCACCCCGTCCGGCCCCAGGCTCGGGAAGGCCGGCTGGCCCCTGGGGTCCTCCCCGGACACCGCGTAGCCGGGCGGGGGCCTGCAGTCCGGGGACGTTGCGGGGAAGCCCGGGTGCTCGTAGCTGTCAGAGGCGGCCAGGTGCAGGCTGGTCCTCAGGTCCCGGTCCCTGTTGTTCCTGTTCATGGGCATGTGCAGTCGGGGGTTGGGGTTCGCGCTGTGGCGGTTCCGGCTCCGCAGGGAGCTGAAGACCATGTTGCAGCCCTCGATGGTGCACTTGTGCTTGATCTTCAGGTGGACGGCGTTGTAGTGGATCTTGAGCGTGCCTTTGTCATAGAAGGTCTTCTCGCACGCCGTGCAGAACACGCGGCCCTTCTTCGAGCCCAGGCTGTGCCTCTCGGGCTTCCCTTTGGCCTCGGGGGACAACTGGGTCCTTTCAAGCTTCGGGACAAGGTGGTAGGAACCCAAGTCGCTTAAATGGGCGCCATCTTCCTTTTTGGGAACGGTGTCCGGGCAGTTGAGACACGGCTCTTTCTCGACCTGAAATGACGTGGGAGCGGAGGTCAAGAAGCCACCGCCGCCACCGCCGGGGAAGGGTCCGTGCGTCTCCTGCTTGGGCTCCTGACTCTGGTCCTGACCTGGCTCCAGCACGTACTGCTCGGGCAGCGACCCTATCAGTGTGGGGGGCACAGGGTTGAAGAACTGGAAGGGCAGCATGAAGGTCATGTTGTTTACGAGGTTCTCAAAGGGGTGCAGGCTGCTGGGGGTCCCCCTGTCCGCGGGGGCGGGGAGGCCGGTGCTCCTGTGGCTGCAGCTCTCGATGAACGCCCTGATGTCCACGTTCGCCGCGGCCGGCGGCATGACAATGGACTGCTCCTCCTTCTCCTGGATGGCCATGAGCTCCACGATGGCCTTGGTCTCCCCAAAGCGAAGGAACTGCTGCAGGGCGGCCAGCTCTTCCTCGCCGGTCATGATGTTCCAGCGATCCAGCACCTTTCCCGACGCGTCCTAGACCAGAGGCACGGACTGCAGTTAATTTACTACCCCACACCCTCTTCTCTGTGCGTATCAGAAGGGGACACCCCATCAAGTCAGCCCCCCCTGCTCACGCTACTCTGGTCTCTCCCAGGCCAGAGCCCCACGTAGAAGATTGACCACACAGATGTAAGCAGGGCTCTGAAAGAGAGAAGTAAGATAGGAGGACTCTGGCCGAAGGGACATGGGGTGATTATTTTCCATCTTATTTCAAACCAATCGGTTGCTCCTGCATTAGATGTCATCCTTTTCCCCACTGAAACGAAAATATGTATCGTTCAAACGGTAGTCCCTTCTTCATCTCAGGAGGAGAGAGGGGGCAGTCAGACCTAGACAGAGCTCAAGTATTTATTTGCTGCAAGTTTAATCATCTTCCCCCAGCAACTAACCTCAGAAAACAAATGAACCCGTATTGATCTACTGCCCACGTTCACAAAGCAGAACTGTAATTACCCTGGCGTGCTGGAGATCTTTCAAAACTCTAGCAAGGCCTAACTTTTCCCAAAACTACAATAAATATTTTATCACAGAACATGTATTTGATGGCCTACTGAGATTTTGCACAATGCATGGAAGAGTTCTGAAGATGATGAGGGATGTAACATCATAAATTTTTGATGTGCTAGAGGTTCAAGGTAATTGATTCCATATTTTTAATCCTAACACTAGAAAGCAAGATTATTAGGATCATTAAATATTGATCTATGTCATAATGTAGGATCATAATGCTGCTTTACATAAAAGGGTGCTTCTAGCCTGCTGGGGGTCCTGCACCGGAGGTGAGCAAACACCCCTCCACAGGCCAACCACGGGCTTCAGAGTTAGAAAGAAACAGGTTCCAACCCTGGGTCTGCCATCACAACCTGAGTGATGTTAGCCAAGATTTAGAAGCACTCTGAGCCTCTGGCTTTTCAACGTGGAAAATGGGGATGATTTCCTGGCCCTGGGAGACTTTATTGGAAGAGGGTCCAGTAATTCCAGCTGATAAAAGCCCGAGTGCTTGTGTTGATGACATGGCCTGCCTGGGGTAAGACTCAAGCATACGTTAGTCCTGGTAGTATATTCATCCCCCATTGCATAGAAATTTTGACATTTTCTTATAGTGTCAAGGGGAAAAAAAAAAAAAAAAGCTGTCACTGCTTCCTACATCAGAGAAATGATACCATTTGTCCCAGGAAATATGTTCTTTGCCTGTGGATATGTATGAAACATGAGGGCCTACCCCCATGACGTGGCCTAGAAGGACGTAAGAGTACTCCGCAGAGTAACAGACGGAGAAGTGGTGAAAGGCACAGGGGAGGGGAGCAGAGAACACATGCAGAGGCCAGCGGGGATTCCAGGGGAGTGAGAACAATGAGAGCAAGAACACAGACGTATCACAGGGTGATGGAACCCGGGGAGGAAGGCCAGCTTCTGCAACGTGCTTCTGGAACATTCGGTCCTCTCTCACTCCCACACCCTCAGTAAGACCAGGCACAGACAGCGCCTTGGGTCCATAGGTGGCCAGTGGATAGTGATCGGGGCCAAGGCTTTGCTGTGGGAGAGCTGGCTTAGTGAGACCCAAATCACAGAGTGTGTCGTGCTCCCATGTCTGGAAGTTTCCCCAGTATCTGGAAGAAAGCACTGGATTCTTCCCAGAATGTGAAGTGGGGGCTTAAGCCATTACGCAAGGAAAGGATGCCCTTTCCTCCAAAGGACTGGAAGAGACATTCCAGCGGAACCACGGCCGTGCTCCCCTACCTGCAGCACGTATCCCCGGATGTAGTCCTGGAGGGTCCAGTCCAAGGCGTGCAGTATCTGGAGCACCTCGTCCTGCTTCAGCACACTGAAGAGCCGGTCTAGTAGGATTTTCAGGCGCACAGGGATGGCCTGGGTCCCGTAGAGCATGAGGCTGCTGATATCGAACACCACATTGGACTGGACAATCTCCACCTGGCTCGTGGGGTACACGGGGGGCACCCTCAGCTTGCTCAGAGCTGAAAAAGCAAATCGGAGAAACACCTTCATGAAGATTCTCCTTCTCGGAGAGACTCTGCGCGGGGGGGCTAGCAGCAGTGCTCAGCTCTGCGTTCTGACAGGGAAACACGACCGTGCGCGTGGGTCGCAGTCCTTCCGGCTACCAGGCTCTACGTCATCCACAGAGACTTAGATCTGCGAGAAAACGGACTGGCCCGAGACTCTTCTTTTTCTTCCTTCCCTGCCCCTAAGAAGTGAAAAACAGCCCCGTGCAGGGCAGGTGCGAGGAAAGGGCGGCGGGCACAGGATCAAAAGGCTGAAAAATCAGGAAGGACGGGGTCTGCTGGTGAAGAGCCCGGCTTGGGGAATCGGACAGATCCGGGTCTGGCCCCTCGTCTGCCGTGTCCTAGCGGCCAGGCAGGGCCAGTTAAGCCACCAGAATGGACGCTGTCCCATGCGACAGTCCGTTGCTCACGGCTATGCGGTTTTGTAACATTTTTAATTTTACGGAATGATTTTTGCCTTATTAAATTATTCTAATTCTGAAGTTAAACAAAATCAGAAATTCAGTCCTTCAGAGTCCCGCCGGTCACATCTCAAGCACTCAGCAGCCCACCCGGGACTCAGCGTGGGATCGCGGGGCTCAGCCAATGAAAATACGGGACGCCCGGTTACATGCGAGCGGGAGTTTCACGGAGGCAGGGAAGAGCGGGATACGTTTACACTCACAGTATTCACTGGGACATACGCAGGCCAGAAAATCATTTACTGCTTCCCTGAAATTCAAACTTAACGGAGCGTTCTCCATTTTACTGGCCACCCTGACGGCAGCCGCGTTAGACAACACAGGACATTTCTGTCGCTGCAAAGGACCACCCAAGGCACCTGTTCCTCGTCTGCAGGATGGGGCTAAGACCCCACCCACCATGCAGGGTCATTAGGCTTCAAAAAGGGGACGTATACCACGCTCTCAGCCTGTGAGCCAGCGAGTGCGGGGACCTCCTCAGACACACAGTCCATTCCCGAATCCCTCGAAGTCGTTCAGAGGGGACACGAGGGGCCGAGGGAGGAGGAGGACAAACAGAGTTACCGTGGGCCACCCATCCGTGTCTGCACTGCTCACACCGGCGGTGGTGGATCTTCCCGGGTGTGAAACCCTGGCAGCTACAGTTCAGGGTGCAGCCGATAGCCTGCAAGAGAGAACGGGGCCCGCGGCCCGTGAGTGCTGTGCTGATGCGAGGCTGCTCCTGCTACACAGGACGCGGGCCTCCCTTCGGTAACGCTCCCGGGGCACTGCGCGCCCACTCTGTGCCAGACGCGGGCGGGGACCCCGCACTCGGTACCCAAGAACAGCTGGCCCCCGGGGCCCACGGAGGGCGCACACATCCCACAGCTGCTCTGCGGGAGAGAGGGGGCTAGGGACCACCACCATGCTCTCTAAGGAAAGTTCTGGATGGAAATATCTTGCTTGTTACTTTTTTCAAAAAAAAAAAAAATTTATTTATTTATTTATTTAAGAGCAGGAACACAAGCAGGGGGAGGGGCAGAGGGCAAGGAAGAAGCAGGCTTCCCGCTGAGCAGGGAGCCTGGGCTCCATCCCAGGACCCTGGGATCATGACCTGAGCTGAAGGCAGACGCTTAAATGACTGAGCCACCCAGGTGCCCCTTTATTTATTCATTAGAGAGAAAGCGTGAGAGAGCGTGCGCGAGAGCACAAGCTGGTGGGGGCGGGGCAGGAGAAGCAGAGGGAGAAGCAGACTTCCCGCTGAGCAGAGAGCCTGACTTGGGGCTCAGTCCCAGGACCCTGAGATCATGACCTGAGCCAGAGGCAGATGCTCAACTGACTGAGCCCCCCAGGTGCCCCCTGACTGGTCAGTAAGAGCACAGAAAGGATGAACAGTCAGCAATCTCTTAAGTCAAACAAAGTGGTGGCCCCTGGGGACTGTCCCAGAACAAGTGAGAGAGAATGGTCTGAATGGACAATTATCCAAATGTGGGCATGGTTGCCCCCCCCACCGCCGCCCCCAGACGTGTGTGAGGAGAAAAGTCCAAAGAGATGGACAACGTGCCGTGGCCAGACACACTGAGGACAGCTCCCCGGTTCCAGCCCTTGGGCTGCGTGGCCACCGAGGCCTGGCCAGGCTGGCGGCCCCAGGCGCACGCCCAGCTGCACGTTCAAGTTCACACGGCTGAAACACAATACACACAAGTACGTGTTCGTTAAGTTCTGGTGTTGAGAACAAAGCGTCCCATAGGTTTTTAGGATGAATTCCTCCAAAGGGGATAGAGGTCTGAAGAATGTGAAGTATTATTAATGAGAAAAAGCTCTCCTAGAAGCTGCGTCAGTGAGGCTCCCAGGAAGGGCCGCTGGGTGGAACCGGCATGAATAAGGAGAGCCCTGAAACTGGGGTGTCCGTGTGTGTCTGGGGGGGGACCTCCCTCTGTCAGTTAAAGGACTCTGTGGGCTCCTGTGGGGACAGGTAAGGGGACGTTCTGTCCCAGGACTTGGGAAACTCACTTTAACTGTCTTCACTTAAAAACCAGTAGCCAGTGGGAATGTAAAGTGGTGCAGCCACTTTGGAAAACAGTCTGGCAATTCCTCCAGAAGTTAAACATGGGCTTACCGTATGACCCAGAAATCCCACCCCTAGGTAGGTGCCCAAGAGATATGAAAATACAGACCCATGTAGAAGCTAGTACCAAATGTTTCTGGCTTCCTTGTTTATAACCGCCAAACAGTGGAAACAACCTCAACGTCTGTCAGTTGATGAGCCGCTAAACAAAATGGGGCACTGCCATGCAGTGGAGTACTACTTAGCCGTCAAAAGGAACGAAGTGCTGACATATGCCACAGCATACGTGAACCCTGAAAACACGCTCGGTGAAATACCCAAGGACAAAAAGTCACAGGCAGTAGGATTCCATTTACATGAAACGTCAAGAAGGGGTCAGTCTACTGAGGCCAGAAGCAGACTAGCAGTGACCAGGGCTTTGCAGAGTGGGCAGGAACGAGGAGGGACAGTTAACGGGTGGCAATGGGGGGAGAATATTATTCCTTTTGTTTGTTTTCATCTTTTAAAAAATAGCTTTAAATTTAGACACAACTCAGATATCATACAATTCGCCCACTTAAAAGTATCCAACTCAATGATTTTAAGGATATTCACAGAGTTGTGCAAACATCACGATCTGATTTTAGAACATTTCCCACATCTGCAAAAGGAGCACTGTGTACAAGTTTATGGTGGATGTAGGTGTTCATTTCTAGGTCTTCCTAGGAGTGGAACTGCTGGATTGTATAGTAATTCTGTTTAACTGGAGAATCTGTCAAAGGTTTTTCAAAGTGGCTGCACCATTCTACTTCCATACCAGTGATGTGGGAAGCTTCCAATTTCTCCACGACCTTCCCAACACTTGCTGTCTGTCTGTCTAGAAACAGCCAGCCTAGTGGGTATGACATGGTATCTTACTGTGGTTCTGGTGTGCATTTCCTCAATGGCTAACAGCGATCAGTAACTTTTCATGAGCTCATTGGCCATTCATTTGTAGGTCTTCCCTGGGGACATATCTGTTCAGATGCTTTGGTCATTTTTTAATTGGGTTGTTTGTCTTTTAGCACTGAGTTGTAAGAGTTCTTTATATATTCTTAGTACTAGTCCCTTAACAGATGATGATTTGCGAATGTTGTCTCCTGCCCTTGGATGATCTTTTCACTTTCTTCGTGGTGCCCTTTGCAGCACAGATGTTTTAAATTTTGACCAGAGTTGCTTTTTAAGGTGAAGATGTTCTGAAATTACATAGTAGTGATGGTTGCACAACTCTGTGGATATAGGGAAACCACTCAGCTATAGACTTTACAGGGGTGAGTTTTATAGTCAATAAAGTATATCTCAGTAGAAATACTACTGAAAAAAACAGTCCTCGACATGCCTATGAAAATGGCTGAAGTCCAGAACCCTGACAACACGAAATGCTCGTCAGGAGAGCAACAGAAACTCTCATTCACTATTAGTGGGAATGCAAAATGGTGTAGCCACTCTGGAAGACAGTTTGGTGGTTCCCAACAAAACTAAACATACTCTTAACCATACAACCCAGCAATCACGCTCCTCGATATTTACCCAAAGGAGCTGAAAACATATGTCCACACGGAAACCCACACGTGGATGTTGGAAGCAGCAGCTTTATTCATGATCGCCAAAACCTGGAAGCGACCAAGATGGCCTTCAGCAGGGGGATGGTTAAGTACACTGTGGTCCCTCCAGACACTGGAGTATCTATCACCCAGCGCTAAAAAGGCATGAGCCACTAAGCCATGAAGAGACACGGGGGAACCTTAAGCACATGTTACTAAGTGGAAGAAGCCAGTCTGAAATGCTGCACATGGTATGACTGCAGCTACATGACCTTCTGGAAAAGGCAAACTATGGAGGCAGTTAAAAAGATCAGTGCTTGCCAGGGGTTAGGTAGAACCCAGAGGATTTTTAGGACAGTGAAAATACCCCGTACAATACTATAATGATGGGTATGCGCCATTATACATTTGTCCCAACCTATAGGAGGTCCAACACCAAGAATGAATCCTAAAGTAAACCATGGGCTTTGGGAGATGATGTTGTGTTCGTGTAGGTTCATCAGTTGTCACAGGTGTGCCCTCCGGTGGGGGATGTGGATAAGCCCGTAGCTGTTCATGTGTGGAGGCAGGGGTATATCAGAAATCTCTACTTACAATTTTGCTGTGAATCTAAAAGTGTTTTAAAAAATAAAGTCCCCCCTCAAAGTCAGTGACTTTGCTTAAATACAGGCTAAAATCTCCCTGATGTGATGGCTATCCCTGACTCCTTTCAGATTACCACCAGCCTCAACACAGCGACTAGACGAGATTTTCAGGGGAAGGAGCAGGGCTGCTCATAGCTGCCGATAGTAACGGTGTTCCCTGATCCCTTCCAGAAGGATCACGACACAGAAAAGAGAAAACATGTATCCGAAAACCCATTTGCTCTTTGTAAAGCCATACAACATCCTACAAAGAACCCCCTGTGATCACCAAGACCTTACTGGAATACTGCGTTCGCTCTTATCAGGGGTGATACTATCCGAATGGGGTGAAAATTAGTTCTTGCGGGGGGGAGGTGAAAAAATATTCTTTTTACATATGAAACACAGATACACATATGTGAACAGAAACATAGTATATAGTATCATACTAAAATTTCACTGGGGAGGCACAATTAGGAAAAAAAAAACCCTAGTCTCCTGGGGCGCCTGAGTGGCTCAGTGCCTTGAACTCAGGTCATGCATGATCTCAGGGTCCTGGGATCGAGGCCCGCATCGGGCTCTCTGCTCAGAAGGGAGCCTGCTTCCTCCTCTCTCTCTCTCTCTCTGCCTGCCTCTCTGCCTACTTGTGATCTCTGTCTGTCAAATAAATAAATAAAATCTTTAAAAAAATCTAGTCTCCCAATGAAGAAAGGATGGAGAAATGCTGTGCCAGGTATCATTTCACCTTTCGGTTAGAGAGATTCTGCTCCTAGAGACCGGTACAGGTGGCTGAACACAGGAACCCACACATCTGTATTCCTAGACACAGGACATGCTATCCCTCATCTGGAAAGATAAAAATGAGTACCGGTTAAGTTCTATGACACACGGTCCCAACAAGAATGTCCCATTGTCTGTAGCACAAGCGTGCTGTCCAGATTTCTCAAACAGCCCGGTGACTCTGAGCACCGGCTGACCCTGGAACCAGCCATCTGCACTCTCAGCAGCTCCCAGGATACTCCGTACTGAGCCTCTGGACTATTTCACAACCTACATTCTGATAAATGTGACTGCTTTAAAGGAAAAAAAAATTTTAAAGATTTTATTTATTTGGCAGACAGAGATCACAAGTAGGCAGAGAGGCAGGCAGAGAGAGAGGGGGAAGCAGGCTCCCCGCTGAGCAGAGAGCCCGATGCGGGGCTCGATCCCAGGACCCTGAGATCATGACCTGAGCCGAAGGCCACTGAGCCACCCAGGCACCCCTAAAGGAAATTTCTAAAAGGAGAAAAAAATTCTTATTTTGGATCCTGTCCCTCAAGATGCCAGTCGCTGTTTGTAAGCAAGACGCCAGAACCACACAGAGTAAATTCACACTCATTCATTCAGAACACAGGACTGGCTTCAGGCACAGAAAGGTGTCCAGGAGCACACA